ATAACGAACCTAAAATGAATGCCAAATACTTTATTTTATGTAAATGAATGGTAGTTCGGAGAACTGTGCCCCGGTGTTTTCCAGTGTAGAAAAATATTTATAAAACTTTGTTGCATTTTTTTAAAAAAATTCATTGCAATAAAAACTATTTAAAAATGCCTCAAACAACTTGTTTTCAAAACTGCAGTAAACTTTTGAACCTTAGCCTTGGGAGACTTCACCTAAAAACACTAATGAACTTCTCCACCAACTACATCAGCCAAATGGTGGACACCAGCCAATCATCAACTTCTCGAATGAGCATCTTCTTCATTTTAGTGTACTACCTCTACCTGGTCACCTTCATACTTCGCCTGCTGATCACCTCAGTTCTGCTCAACAATCAAAATTGTTTTTGTCTGATTGAGCAGTACACCTCCTTTGACCTGTTCATCGGCTTCCTCCTCCACCTGAACATCCTCGATCGGTACAACGTCCTCGCACTGTGGCCCATTTGGGTTCTCCTCATCTACTTCGACTACACCGTACACTTCAGCTGTGGCCGGAAGTGCTACTCTCTTGCCTATCAGCTGATTGTCACCAACAAGTTGCACTTTTTTGAGCTCAACTTTGTGAGCTGGAAAAAGATGGCCTTCGAATTGGTCAGCTTTTGGCGGCACAGCGAAACAGTTCGAGTCACCAGTCGACCGCTGACGGCCTTCGAATCACTTCAGCCCTCAATTCGACGGCGAGCAGCCCTTCTCTCATTTTCTTTTGACTTCATCTTGGCGTTCAGCTTCTACTTTTGCACACTCTTCTTTGCCCTGGCCAATTCGTACATCTACGTGTACTTTATCTTGGACTTTTACCCATTTGAAGAAGGACTGCTAATTATCGCTGAAGTGACGCTGCTGGAGTACGCCACCTGGCACAGCTGCAAGATCTCCTTCTTCTTCGAGCACCTCTCCAATCTGCTCATCTACGTTCTGACCGCCCAGCAGGCGTTCTGGGTGGGGCGGCTGAAGAGGTTGCTAGAAAAACAGATCAAGTGCTCTTCTGATAAGCAAATCTTATTTTCTCAGCGTCGTCTAGTTCGCTTCCTCACCGCCAAGTTCCTTCCAAGCCATCGATCCTTTCTAAGCAGCCTAGTGCAAGCGAATCGCGACCTCGTCTCCACCTACTACTTCTTCAGCCTGGTGACCATCTTTCCCTTCAACGCCTACACGCTGACGATGATATTACTGAAGGAGATGTCCACCAGTCTGCGGCTGCAGTTCACCGTCTACGTCTTCATGGAGGACTTCTTCCTCCTGCTCGCCCTTCGACCGGTGATCACCGCGGAGCGGGCAATGAAAACAGCCGGCCACCAGCTGAGTCGCTCGAAGGCCTACCTGCCGGGCAGCTCTAGCAACTCAAGGGGGAATATTCGCCTCAAGGTGAAGCTGGATGAGATTGCCCGGCTGAACTTTGCCTTCACCGCCGGGTCTTTTGGCTCGATAACGACCAACTCCGTCTTAAAAGTAAAGTGAACGATTTTTGTTGTTGTTGTTGTTGTTGATTTAACTTCACCGAATTAACAGTTAAATTTTTGTTTGCAGTTCATCTTTGTCTACGCCGGCTTCATGATGTTCTTTTGGGGCAATGCCTTTNCTGTTTTGTGTTTGTTGATTTAACTCCGCCAATTTAACAGTTTATAAATTTTTGTTTGCAGTTCATCTTTGTCTACGCCGGCTTCATGATGTTCTTTTGGGGCAATGCCTTTGTCAAAATGTAAAACTAGCGCCAGCTAACTTTTACTGATACCAAATTAACTTGAATTTGGTGTAGCGAAATTTATAAAAAGTCATTTTTCAAAATATTTGTACAAGGTAAATAAAAAAACTTCATGCAATAAATTTTAATGTCAAAGCTAACTGATGGCAGTGAACTTTTCGTGTTTCTCAATTTTTGCATTTTATGCGTAACAAAAAAAANCTTTTGGGGCAATGCCTTTGTCAAAATGTAAAACTAGCGCCAGCTAACTTTTACTGATACCAAATTAACTTGAATTTGGTGTAGCGAAATTTATAAAAAGTCATTTTTCAAAATATTTGTACAAGGTAAATAAAAAAACTTCATGCAATAAATTTTAATGTCAAAGCTAACTGATGGCAGTGAACTTTTCGTGTTTCTCAATTTTTGCATTTTATGCGTAACAAAAAAAACAAATAAAAAATTGATTTGAAACAAGTCATGCAACTTTAAAACTCAAAACTTTTTGCTTAACGTTACGTTAATTTCGTAATAGAAAGAAAAACTCACCCAGTTATGACAGAGTTGTAGAGAAGAGTTGGTCTTGAATTGAACTGCACATCTGATGAACTGAGGATTCCGCACTCTGAAAAGACAGTTTCCCACTTTGTACGGTTGTTTTTTCCACTTTGTACAGAAAACAAAAAGTATAAACTCAGTCGGCCAAATTCTTTCCCTTCTTCCCTTCTTCATCATCAGGAGCTTCGCAATGCAATCGCATCAATCGCACTCAACAGTTCACTTTCCCTTCTTTCTCTCTTCTCCTTCTTCATCGGTGCTGGACAGACGGCGACTGCAGTGCTCTTACGTTAGCAGGCAAGTGCACTCACAGTGCACTTTTTTTTCTGTTTTCAGCTCTGTTCTATCTGCTGCTGCTGGCCTGCTGCTGTCTGTCCACGCATTGCACGTGTGTAGTGCGGCTGCTTCTGCAGCTGCTGCAGCTGCTCCTACTGCCACTTGCCTCCAGAGGACACACCGAGTGCCAGCACTCATTTGTGCACACTCACCGCACAGCACAGCACAGCACAGACAGCACAACACAGACGGCACAACAGCACACTCACCGACACCGACTCTGATTTCATCAGATTGACGAACACATTTAGAACCCTTGGATGCTCAAACTCTCTCTCTCTCTCTCACCCCAAAGAATCTAAGGAATCGACGCACATCGACGACCATCGACACCAAAGATTGATCCTCGATTCATCCCATCACCACCACCTCTATCACCTTCATCACCATCACCATCACCTTCTTTCATTGATGGACGACCTGTCAATCTGCAGCGCCGGCAGTGACGACAACTCTGATGACGACTCGGACCACGATGAGGGCGATGATGAAGATGAAGATGAGGACGAGGAGGAGGACGAACAGATCAAGGACAGCGACTACGAGAGCTCCGATCAAGAGGACAGCGAAGAGGACAGAAGATGCGGCGACCGGGCTGTTGGGGCCGGAGGCGAAGAGCCGGTTCAACAACGCAAACCAAGCCACAACACAGGTAGAGCCGGTGGTGGCCAAGAAGCCAAAGATGATCACCTGGTGGCCACATCGGTGGCCTCGGCCACCGCCGCCCTCGCCAGCTGTAGCCTCGAGGACGGCGGCGGAGGAGAACCGGTATCACCAAATCACAAGAACACCAACAACAACCGCAGCATCGATGGCAGCAGCAGCAGCAAACTGCAGAAGGTAAACAAACTCTCGCAGTACGTCCCCTACTCAGCCCAGCTCGAATCGACCCGGATTCAGCTGTGGACGAACCTGAAGGCGCACCACTGCGAGGCCAGCGTCGCCCAGGGCGTCCAGCTGGAGCGGTGGATCTACGCCTGCAACCAGTAAGTTGAGCTCTCTCAGAAAAAACCCTTATCAACTTATCAATCAACTTTCTTTCCTTTCAGGTACCTAACCGCCTTCGGCCTGGCCTTCACCAAAGCCGACCACATCATGCTGATCCGNTAACCGCCTTCGGCCTGGCCTTCACCAAAGCCGACCACATCATGCTGATCCGGCTGTGCTGGACGTCGTTGGTGGCCACCGAGACGGACTACCGCATCATGAAGATGCTGGCCCACCTTCTGGGGCGACTGCTCAAGTACGTCCTCTTCTCTTCTCTTATCAATCTCCCTTATCAACTTTCCCTTATCACCACTAATGCTCACCTTCCTCCTCATTTCCTAGACTGCCCTCGCTGATCACCCGCTCCGAGCTTCAACTGAACTGGCGAGAACTGTTCACCCTCGTCGAACGGGTCAACCACAACCGGCACGTCCGCAAGCAGACGCTCTACCTCGACTCGGGGCTGCTGGGGACGCTCACAAACCTCGTATCCGCGGCCTCCTTCTACTTCAGCCCCGAATCGACCGGAGAGATGCTCGCCGAGTGGGGCGACTACCTCTGCATCTACTCGAACAAGTTCACCCGCTACCTCTACCTCCTCATGCTCTTCCTCCCACTGCACCTTCCACCCTCGGAACATCACCTCGGCTGGAAACTGTGGTTCGAGGAGATGATGGCCCTGTGGACGGCCCTGCCCACCCAGGACACCAGCCACCACTACAACTACTTTCTCTACCTCTTCAGCAGCCTAGCTAAAAGCGCCTTCGGCTACATCGACTGGTCGCCCCATCTTCCGGCCATTCTTCAGCGGGTGAAGAAGCGCCTGAACTGCAAGACGGCCACCGACCTGGAGCTGACGATGGCCGCCAGCTGGTTCGTCTACTGTATCAGCCCGCAGAATGACTTTCTCGCCACCCTGAAAGCCTACTTCAAGTTTCGCTTTGTCAACCACAAGCGGGTGGTCTGCTACC